ACTCTGGCATAAACAAACAAGGATTGGGAAATGATACCCTGTGTTTAAATTTGAACTGGCATCACTAGGAACATAATAAGTGTCACAAAATTTCAGTATGTGTTGTTCATTATCATGATTAATTGATTATTTGGACTGACTGAAGGGATAAAAAATCAGAAATATTGTCAATGGGACAAAATATTAACAATTATCAATATGAAATCATCATAATATGTCATTGATAATATCTTACAATACATATACTATTGTGATGAAAAGTTTAAATTTACACATACTACATACTAAGTCACGTCTATTCATTGCCACATTATGTTCAGAATGCTGTTTTACCAGGAATTTCTGTTGGACTTGTCTTTTACCTTTTTGCTCAAAGTTACTTATTCAATACTTATTTGCTACTGGATCAATATTTAGTTAATCACAACCAGCCCTAATAATTATCACATCATAATCATAATTTTGTACAGAATATTTCATATGTTTCTCCCACTTTGTTAATGTTGAATACATAATTTATCATGATATATTGTCACCATGGACAAACCTAAAAATGATTTCAAAACATCAACCTAAACAAAAATATTTAACAGATATGTTTTTAGAGCTTGTAAACAATCTGTGTCGCTCTTTCCAAATCATGACTAGTGGTGTAACCATATGGCAAAACTGTATTGTATCACGATGCAAGGCTCACAGTATACATTGATTTACAACTCCTGGATGACAATACATGCAATAGATTATGTTACAAGTCATATTGATGTAGAAGCATGACATGAATAATAACAGAAACTGTTCAAGAACCAGTTTATACAGATTCTCTAATATTTCTTGGTTGGCTCAAAGAAGTAGAATCTTCAAGGTGCCCACAAGCTAATCTTACTCAGCTACAATATTCCATCTTGGCCATCTGAGCACAAGAAACAAATGACTCAGGCTTGTGATTTAATTGCAGAAGTAGGTGACGATGAAAACATATGAAATAAAACAGTGTATCTGGATACGAATCGTATCATGCCTAGGTGATAAGTATCATAGCGTTTTATCATATTGTCACATCGTTACACCTCTAATCATGACAGATGGTAATAGTTCTACATAGTTTTACATAGCATACTGACTGACTGACTGAGTTTAGTTTTAAGCCGCTTTTAGCAATATCACGGCGGGGGACACCAGAAATGGGCTTAACACATTGTGCCCATGTGGGGAATCGAACCCGGGTCTTCGGCGTGACGGGCCAACGCTTTAACCACTAGGCTACCCCACCGCCCCACATAGCATACTGACTGTACAGGTATGGAAATTAAAAGGAGCCAGCTAACTCAGCCAATTCAGCTCATGTTAAGAAAGCTTTGGGGATGATTTTGTAACATGTTTTTGGATTTTCCTACTTGGTATCACTATTTGGACTAGGACTCTTTTGGTTACTGACCCATGAAGATCCGGGTTAGAAATTATCTTCAGCAACCCATAGCTGTCATAAGAGACGACTACTGAAATCGGGTGGTCAGGCTCACTGACTTGGTTGATACATGTCATCATATCCCAATTGTGTAGATTGATACTCATGATGTCAATCACTGGATTGTCTAATCCAGACTCAATTATCTACAGGCCGCCACCATATAGCTGTAATGTTGCTGAGTGCGACATTAAGCCACAACCTAACCTAACTTTGGGATACTTTCTGTCCCTGCTGACAGTGTAAATAAGTGATGGCTTATAGACAAGAATGTTGCATTCACATTCATAAGTAATATGTGAGCTGTCATAAATTAGCATATTGTATTCATTTTGTTCAATCAATATGTTGACATTTTTGTATATTTTATTCAGGAACTTTTTCATGCTATTTGCATTTTCTTTGACCAAGTTGGGTTTGTTATTCCTTGGTGTATCAGTACTATCACTAACCACTGGCAATATATGTTGACTAAAACTATGACATGTTGGGTTTGTTATTCCTTGGTGTATCAGTACTATCACTAACCACTGACAATATGTTGACTAAAACTATGACATGTTGGGTTTGTTATCCTTGGTGTATCAGTACTATCACTAACCACTGACAATATGTTGACTAAAACTATGACATGTTGGGTTTGTTATTCCTTGGTGTATCAGTACTATCACTAACCACTGACAATATATGTTGACTAAAACTATGACATGTTGGGTTTGTTATTCCTTGGTGTATCAGTACTATCACTAACCACTGACAATATGTTGACTAAAACTATGACATGTTGGGTTTGTTAGTCCTTGGTGTATCAGTACTATCACTAACCACTGACAATATGTTGACTAAAATTATGACATTTCACAAGGTTATCTCACATTCCAAGCTGAACAGATGAACAAAGAAGACATCCTGCTAAGTTCAGAGCAGATTACATAATCAATCAAATGCCCAAGAAACCATAGCAACTGGATCTTAACTATCAGCATGTGGTAAGACTTCCGCCAGTATCCCCCCTAGATTTTAACGATAAGGAAACATTTCTTCGAGTGGCATTTTCAGAAGTTGGATATGTATTTCAGTAAGTTCAGATACAATTAAAGAAACATGTTAAACTCATCCTTATCAGATGAGGGATATATGTTCAGGTGATATGATTTGACCAGAATGAAATTTAAGGGGGGATACGGGCGGAAGTCTTTCCCAGCATGTCACTGACTCAACACAAAGCAATCTATCAAACTGATCTGAAGATAGATTACTTATAATGCTTACATACACATGAGACAAAACTGGCACTATTTAGATTTGAGGAAGCATGAGTAAAAAAGCAATTTACGAATGATCAATAGTCATCGTTATGTTAGTGTTGAAATCTTTTACGTACTTGAAAAATTTAATGTGTCACTTGGATTACATATCGAGTTTATTAATATAGCAATGTGTCAAATGAAATGATATATCATCATGATCATTGCAAATGAACAAAACTTATTTCATACTATGGTTTCATTTCTTTACGAGGGCTTCAGGATTAAATATTTGACTTTTTTTATTCTGATTAATCATTATTTTAGAGTATGAATCATGATTTTAGAATTCTTACAGAGAACAACTTTACAAGGAAGAAGGAAGTGCAAAGCATGAAACTAAAACAAGTAAACCGGTTGAAATCATAGAACTAGAACATATAGTAACCAATATGTGTTATCATATTCTGCTATTTGGCTATCTTTATGATTATGAAATTTACATGCACCACCATATTCAGAAGTACAGTCATGAAATGAAAACTATTATTCTTGCACAGGTAAAGAGACATGCTCAGTGAGCACTCATTCATCTGAAGCAGTGGGGTAGCCTAGTGGTTAAAGTGTTTGGTTGTGAGTGAGCAAGCGAGTATGGTTTTATGTCGCTTTTTGCACCATTCCAGCAATATCACTACAGCAGCCACCAGAAATGGGCTTCATACATTGTACCCATGTGGGGAATAGAACCAGGGTCTTTGGCATGAGTGAATTCAGCAATAACCACTAGGCTATACCCGCACCCCAGGTTCTATTGCCTAAATGGATACAATGTGCAAGGTCTATTTCTGGTGTCTCCTGGAATGATATTGATGGAATATTGATAAATGCAGCCTATGTAGTCAGCAGGTGCTTTTTTGAATAAGTTGGATAATGTGTAGACAGGTCAATCATGAAGTGACACTAACAAAAAATTCACCTCTCAAAATACAGTAGTTTCTTGTATTGACCATGCTGCTGGACATCCATTTTGATTTATGCTAAGACAGATCACTAAGTTGTACTTCCTGAAATTTACAAGAATTTTGTGTAACTTCACAACAATAATTCAATCTGTGTAAAGACAATGGAATCTGTACAGTGTTTCGTGGTCAATGACTAAGCCACAAAGTTGAAATATCAAAACATAACTTATCCACAGACATCAGACAGATCATGAAACGAGTTGACCAATATTCAATTTATTCAAGTTTGTTATTTAAGATGAATATTGTAGTTCAGCTATAAAAAAATGCAACAAGGTGGACAGAGATTCAAAACTGATCACTGCACTTTCTGACACATACGAAATACTGCTTTTCTATGGTCAGTATTGTAAAATATTAACATTTGCGATTGTCTGTATATCTTCATATCATTGTTATTTAAAGAGCATCACATAAACATGGAGTAGAATGCCGAGGTGGGTGAAGTTTTAATTTGTTTTTGTTCCCAATCAGGATCAACCATTGTGGTTACATGACATTTGACAATCTATTGACTGATTCCCAACAGATAAATGTGCATTAAATAATCACAGAATCAGCACTTTTCATATATACTAGAATGTGGCATGTCAGCTAGTTGGTAAGTAGGGAAAAGTTGTAACAACAAACTATTTATCTTATAAAGAAGGCAATGTTCACCAAGTACACTGGTAATTTGATACTACTGTTCGGGTGTATGTCCTTATCAGTCTAAATGGCCTGTTGCATAAAGATCGTGGTGCCCATGGTAAAAACGTCTGATAATTTTCTATAGAAAATACCAAGGCACTTGAAAAATTCTCATGTTGTAGATACTCTGTTTGACACACGAATGAAAAAGACGAAGCCTTGTTTCATTGTTTACACACCAACGTGCAGCCATCAGCTGATCATGGATTGTGGTAAAATCAAACCAAAAGTAAACAAATATGTGTTGGACAATTCTCTATAAGTTAACATACATTCAGCATTTCCGGGGTTTCAAGGGCTAGCAGTTATTTTGACTTGAAAATCCCTGACGAACTTTGAGCCTTGTCAGCAAATCATGACTAATTGATCTTACTTCAGCCAGCTGTGGATGTCACGCCAGACACTTTGGTTAGGTCTGTTGCACATAGGAAAACGAAATTCATAGAGTGTGACATGAACTGGTATGTAAGAAAAGTGGAGTAACAATATATACTAACGAAAAAACTGACAATACTCAATTTCGAGCACAACTGAAAACATTACCAGGCTGCAGGCCCGAAAACACTTCCTTACCAGCAGCGAAATGAAGAGGTGTAGATTTCCTTCCAGCGGTATCCTTGGAGTTAACGTTGTGAGAATTGACTAATTTCTTAACTTTGCTTAAGTCACCATTCCTACAAGCTTCAAATAATTCTCTTCCAACGTCATTTGAAGATGGAGAAGAAGGCTCATTTGGGAGAATAGGACGACGGCCAGTCGCCATTTTGGACTAAGTTGCTAACATCTCGTTCACTCAACGGGATTATGCGAGACTAATTTTGAATTTTCTGCGAGATTAAAAAATAAATGATTGTTTGTTACAAGCGTATATTTCGTATTATTGATCGGAGATAATAAGTGACATAATACGTAGACTACCAAAACATATGAATTAGGGTATACATGTTTGTAAGTTGATTTTCACAAATCCTTGAGGGGCGCATCGTCATCACGGAGCTGTCATGGCGGGAAATTTATCGTGAGGTTGTTTACATTATCCAAAAATTGGCGTCTTTTATTTTTGATATATATAAATAAGGGGTAATTGATAATACTCAAACATGTCGGAACTAGATGGACTTTCTCTGGAGGAAGATGAAGAGGTTGAAACCATGACAGCAGCTGAAGTACTTCAGAAGTTAGAGGAGGTATCAAACTTAGTTTGTCCTGATTTCGATAAGCAGTTGCCCACAGTGGCTGATGGTGTAAAACATCCTTAGATGTTATCAGTCAGTAAGTCATGAGAATTATGGGATTACTAAAACAAGGGATTAACCAAAAAAAGTTGTTACGTGGCCCTAGTTCAGTAGTAGTAGTTGCCATCGAGGGGCTGGGGAAGACCAGGTTCAGTTCTCCACATAGGTTTCATTTTACACAATGCCATTTAGAAAGTGGTCAAATGCAACATATGTTATGTTTGGGATTACACTTTTTTAGTGAAGTACAAATTCTAGTTCTTTTTGGGGTTGAGTCCCATCCGGGATTCGAACCCACACCCTCAGAGTCAAGCACCAAATCGGCGATTTGTTCAGCACAAATCAGAGTCAGGCACCAAATCGCCAGCACTCAAAGGCTAGCCTTTGTGTGCTGGCGATTAGGTGCCTGACTCTGAGGGTGTGGGTTCGAATCCCGGATGGGACTCAACCCAAAAAAGTACTAGAATTTGTACTTTACTAAGAAAGTGTAATCCCAAATATAACATATGTTGCATCATTTCTTGATGCCCATTTCCGGTGTCTCCAGCTATGATATTACTGGATTATTGCTAAACTGACATGAAACCAAACTCACTAACACTGGTCCAGTAAGTACAGCTTCACATATTCATTGATCATGTCATCATATCTGAATTAGATTGATTGATGCTCATGATGTCAAGCACTGGATTGTTTGGTCTAGACTAAACTACGGCTTACCTTTAGAATACAGCCTGGAACATTGCACTTAAACCACTTTCACACGCTACATTTGTTCAGCAATGATTCGAAGGATAACTCACCCTTGTGGCGTCACCAGACATACTCATCTCTCCTTCAGCATGTTCGGGGCTTAGTGCGATCCACATTATCCTTACAATGTTCCCTACAACATTTTTCTGTCACAAAATCACCCAATGATTTTTTTAAAAGCATGTCATTCATGCATACTATGAATAGATGTCTGACATCAGTTTGCTCCATATCGGCTGATTCCACACCGCTCGGTATCTTGTAGATTTTTATGAGTGTGCCAAGATGGCATCAGGACCATTCATCAGTTGTCTTCAGATTAAAATCATAAGACAACAAGTCTATCCGTAACCTTCGTGATTGTCCATGACCTATTCGACTCTTCTGTTCATTTCCGTAACATCTCAGGAATGACTGGATAAATTTGCACTTGGTGTAACAGTGTGGACGTACCTCATTCGGTTAGCTGTCGGACTAACAATCGGAAGGTCACAGGTTCACGTCTGACGGATTCTCACAAAATTGGTTGCTTGTCTAAGAGACAAGTGACCTATGGCAGAGACAGTCCACACAAGATGTTGTGGTGCCTTATTCTAAAGGTGTGACCGCCTCCATGGTGTAGTGGTTAGAGTGTCCGCCCGGAGAGCGGAACGTCGCAGGTTCGATCCCCGACCGCGTCATACCAAAAGACGTTAAAATGTGGTACTTGTTGGTCCCTGTCTGGCGCTCGGCATTAATGGATACAACAAGGACTGGTCGGCTCGGAGTCAGTATAATGTGTCTAAGTGGGGTATTCATGCTTCACTGCAGCATGGTATCTCAGTGGGTTAGCACTATAAAACCAGCTTCAGTCTGGGCTAGTACAAGCAGCCGCACATACACATACACATGCATGCACTTCGTCATATGAGCGAAATATTTTCAAGCACGACGTTAAACCCAATTTCACTTCACCTCACCTCTAAAGGTGCTCCTAAACTACTTGGGGCAGTGGGGTAGCCTAGTGGTTAAAGCGTTGGCTCGTCACGCCGAAGACCCGGGTTCAAATCCCCACATGGGTACTTTGTGTGAAGCTCATTTCTAGTGTCCCCCGCCGTGATATTGCTGGAATATTGCTAAAAGCGGCGTAAAACCAAACTCACTCACTCACTCACTCCCAAACTACTTACAGAAAGAACTGATACAGCCGGGGTGTAGTGTTAGACAAAAATCAAACAAATATGATCGGCTTTAAACACTGATATGATTAATTTTCAGGCATGGTTGGATGAGAAATTTTCCCCCGACATCCTGGAAGCAAAGACTGACCTCGTAGACTGCATGTTGGAGCAGATCACAGCTATGGAGGAGAACATCAGATCAGCAAAGAAAGGAGATTTTAAAGTCAGCATTCATAGAATGGAGGTAAATAGTCACATGTCAATGTACAATGTTCGCAAGCTGATCTTCCTTAATATTTGTAGGCTTTCATGAAGCAGTCACTGATAGTGGCATCTCCATTTCAACAATGACTGTATTATGTCTTTCAGTGGCATTTAGAAGTTGTACATTGATGTCCAAGATATTTTTATGGATTAAACTTCTTTTTTTAATTTCTCTCACAACGTTTCGAGACCATTCCCAGGTCCCTTCATCAGGTGAACTGGCAGTTAGGACTATGACGTCGTCACTATGACGTCATAACTGAGTTATGACGTCACAATGCAAGTGACATCACAGTACACTAGGGAGAGTACTGTATAAGTGAGTTTGAAGAGTTAATTACATAATGATGAAATTCATGCTAATACACAACAACTGCTAATAACACAAAGGTTCCTTGATAGCAGGCTTTCCAAAAAGAATAGTAGACTCGTTTTTTCTTGTATCTAAAGTTCATCAAAAGTTAATCAAGAGGTCCCATGCACTTGGCAGGTATACACCTTGATCACGATTAATTGCTGGTTTATGTCTCCTTATCTCGACAGCTTCCTGTAGTTTTCTCCGACGCCAGTCATTGTTATTTCTCGAAATCACCCTAATATCGTTCCACATGATTACATGACTTGGGTTATTTGCCTTGTGCTCCGATATAGCTGACTTATCATTTTGTTTGCATACTGATGACTTGTGTTCAGCAACCCGGGGTGTTAATGGGCCTGAGAGTCTCGCCAATATATTGATCACCACCGCTGCATGGTATTTGGTATACACATCCTCTAGGGTTGGGGCTTCCATTACTAGATCCTCTTCCATTTGCCATTCTGTATTGTTCTGAAGTGGATATAGCACTAAAACCATTTTCCTGGACTTATGTTTACCAGATGAAAATATGATTCTTTTTCTTCAGGAGTCCTCCTTGGGGTACATATATGCATTTAAATGTCCATTTAAAATCCATTTAACTATATTTTTTAATAAAATATTTACAAAACAAAAAACTCGTTTTTGTCTTGTGAGACCACCCCTATAGGGCCCCCTCGGGGCCCCCTACAGCCAAGAGCAGGTAACTCTAGCCGTCAACCTCGCACCTCACTTTTTATGCTGTCGTTCTTCTGGATAGACGTGCATGTGTTCCATTGAAGTTTTGTGCTTATTCCCTTCGGATATGAGTGATAGAGAGTCAAATACTGCATGTATGGTTCCTTTTGTTCCACAGGGCTCTAGATGGAATTTATAGGCTGACTTTTTCATTCATAAATTGTTGTAACTTTGCCGATCGGTTCCCATCTCCAGCCTTAACAGATGAACATATGAATTTGTACGACACTTCACTGTACACAAAACATGTTAACATTCACGGCTGGATATTGCCCTGATTCTCATTATCATATTGCGATATATTGCAATAATTTAAGAGATATTGCAATATATATTGTGATATATTGAATGGAGGGTTTCTGCCCAAGAGCGTACATCATAAATCCATAATAGCTCTCTGTATGAACATAGAGATTTTTTCTGGGTTACATCTTCTTTTTATTCTCGAGTACAACGTTTCAGGGCTTATTCTGGCCCCATCATCAGGTAAACTGAACAGTAACTGTTAACTCTGGCCGTGACGTCACAATGCTTATGACGACACAATGCTATAACGACGCAATACATGTGGTGGTCAATAGATACAGATGACCACCACATGTATTGCGTCGTCATAGCGTTGTGACGTCACGGCCAGAGTTAACAGTTACTGTTCAGTTTACCTGATGATGGGGCCAGAATAAGCCCTGAAACGTTGTACTCGAGAATAAAAAGAAGATGTAACTCAGAAAAAATCTCTATGTTCATCAAATATCATCTTCTAAAATGCCAATCAAGCATCTAGCTCTCTGTATGCGACATTATCTTCTTAATTGCTGTTACACCATACTTTCAGGCTCCCCCGTCCCCATTGTGTATGGCTGTATGCCAATGGTTTACAGATAAATAAAATTATATAGAAGTTTAATTGAGGTATTGCAACAAACGTTTGAGAACATAATGATAAAGTATAGTAATAGTATAACATAAGTTTCATGGTCAGTGCTTCAACAGAATGCACTTCAATGCAGCTTGTAGTTATTGTTTCTGTATGTCAGTGATTAATTCAGATTCAACTCCAATATAAACATGTGTTAACATAAACTATTGCAAAATGAAACAAAAAACAAGATTTAGGTGAACTACTTGAGCTTAAACATGTCATGTGACCTCCAGTAACTGAGATCCTTGACTAGGATGTCATTATACAGTCAGTAAGACTTAAACCTTTAGAAAGACTTAGGCCTTCATGATAAATTGATAATATATGTTTTATTATGAAACAAACAAAAGTAACAAAATAATGGGAATTGTGAAATGGTCACTCAGAGCCAGAGCCTCTGCTGAAGTATTGGTTAATTTTAGGCTACTTAGGGACCGTTCATAATTTATGGCTAGGGAGGGTGATGATGATTTTGATTTTAAGTGGGGGTTGGGGGTGTTCCCACCCATCCTGACTCATGCTTAATTGCTTGTCTCTTTCTTCTTGCGAATGATAGTGATCTTGAATCCCCTTTTGAAGCTCCCTTAAAAAAAGCGGACGTAAAATCACCCACCCAGTGTTATCTCCCTTTAGACTCTTTTGGCGGGAAAATGTGTCACATGATCCGACATGCCCCTCACTCTCTCCTTCTTCGCCCTTGAGGACGGTTGTGAGAGCGCCTGGGTCCCCTATACAGGCATTATATCCTTTAATTTTTAGGCCTTTGCTACTAAATTAGCTGTATACGGCTTTAGGATTGATATACCAACAATATGGTTTGGAATTTTGTCCAAATTATCTGTATTTATTCACGTTGTTGACATGTGTTTTCATCGTGTTTACTTTTGATGAAAACTTGCAGTCGTTGCAGATACCGGTTGTTGTTTGCTGATCCGCATTTATTATGTCCTAATTGTACTTCTCAATGTTCTTCCAGCTTTCACTGTCAACTTTGTCAGCATTTATCTGAATTTGAATTTAATAATTATTTATATTCCATTATTAGGCGTGCCAAGGACAGGTCTAGACGACTTTCACAAGTCATGTCTAAACCAGATGATTGCGTTGATAACCGTTTGTTGTTGTCTGCTGACATTCACCATTCCAGTGGTTTACCGTCTGCGTCTGCGGAGCAGGTCGCTGTGACTGATGGCAGCTCCGGCTCCAAGAAGAGGTCGTCTACATCAACTATAACCTCATCGCAGGTGAAGAAGACTAGGGCATCGTCTTCTCAGAAGAAGAAGTCGTTTACTAACAAGACTCCGGCGAAGTCTTCACATGGGGCAGCTCTTAAGACGAGGTCTTTCGCTACAGAGATCATCCCGGCAGATGAAGTAGACGTATATGATGAGCCACCCATCCTCATCCTCATGCCAGGGAGGAAGAAGACGAGGTCTTCATCTACAGTAACATCAGCAGTCATCTCAACGCAGTCAGACGTTTTATCAACGCAGACATCAGATAGAGATGGCAGATCGTCACAAGTGCAGCAGTCTTTGGGAGAAGCCTCGGTACTCTCAGATGCGTCGTCCGCAGTGCAGCAGCAACAGTCGTCGTCACAGAGCTTCAACCCCGGGGTCTTCATGCAGCAGTTTACACAGCAGATGTTGGACCTGATGGAACGGAGGTTTCGCGCAGGAGAAAGCAGCTACGGAGGCCCCATCTACATCGAGCCTGCGCGAAGGACAAGCAGCCTGCAGATCACATCCCACCGAAGATAGCAGCCTGCGCGAAGGATCACACACTCTACGATGTACCACGACACCTTCACCGGAGGAGCCTTCACGAAGGAGCAGAACCAGACGTTCACCGGAGCATCGCAGATCCTTCTCCGACGATATGGACAACCATCAGGAGCCTTCACGAAGGCACCATAGAAGAGAATCTACACCTTCACGAAGGCACAGAGATACATCTCAAGACTCCAAGGAGGATCCTTTTCCGAATTTATCGCCTTCGCGAAGGTCTCCAGGCAGGTCTCCACGCAGATCTCCACGCAGGTAAGAGACAGAATGGCAACCATCTCCAGAACAAGAAGCCTCTAAATCCGAAGATGATGATGGGAATCATATTTTCCGATACAGAGATTAAATCTTGGATGGCAAATGGATTAGAACTTGCATCACCTTCTAAAGAGGATAATGAAGCATTTACGTACAGGATGTCTAACAAGGACTTCGATACACTTACTCCACCCATCGATCCTGTCCCAGATGTACCAGGGAATCTCAGCACAGCCTTCGGGGAAGGCAACAAAGTTCCAGAGTCAGAGCGTCCCACCATTCAACGCCAAAAAGTTCTCTCTTCACCACATGGAACCCTTCACGAAGGCCCCAGAGATAGATGAGAACTACAAGATCATCAACAACTCCCGAGCCAGGACTTACAAAGTGGAAGATAAGAAGTTGGCACAACTAGACACAGCTACCAGACGTACCTTCTTTGGCATAGCCAGGTCAAGAACCATCAACAAAACTCTCATCACGAAGTTTAGGAACTCGACCTCGGAAGAAGATAGAATGATCTACTCGGCATTACTAACCTAGAAGAAAGATCATCAGTTCATGTCCGAACATCTAGCATCTACATCAGCAGGACTGACACTATTAAGAAGACAAGGATTGATATCTTCCTGTACGTGGAGTGAACGCTTCACCAAGTCACTATACAGAGCTCTGTGGTCAGCACCATCTATCTTTGCGGGAAATTGAAGAGGTAGCCAAGGAAGTAACGAAAGAGTCAAGGGAGGTAATGATGATCAAGTCCATCGACACACTAGCCAGTGTTATACTTCAGACCTCGCAACGCTACTCCGGCAAGTCGAAGTTTACAGGAATACAAAGAGCCAGGGAAAAGAAATACGGCAGCTCCAGAGGAGGCTAGGATTCTTTTCGTCGCCCAACCCGCGCTCCCAGAAGTAATCCTGGAAGAGGCAGGCCATCCAGAGGTGCCAGGAACTTTAGACGCTGAAGGACAGGTTCGAACGACTGGAGTCCTCCACCCCCAGCCGTTCCCATACAACCTTCAACAGTGGGTGTACGTCTACAACGCTACTGGAAGAATTGGGGAATTCTTCAGGACGTCTACGTATCCCAGATCCTACGCAGAGGATACAAGATACAACTACAAGCAGTACCACCATTGACAAGCAACTCTCTAGCCCACAACTATGCTGCCGACCAGAGGGAGAACCTACTCGACGCTATCTCGAGAAGGAGACGATCGAAGAAATAAAACAGGAGTTCATCACGCCCGGTGTTTCCTCCCCAATCTTCTTAGTACCAAAGAAAAATTCCAGGGAAAAGTTCCGACTTATATAGAACATGAGGAAATTCAACCAAGATTATCTACGCAGCCCCGCAAAGTTCAGAATGATACATCTACCTCAACTGCGACACTCGTACGTCCATTAGACTACCTCGCCAGCACAGATCTACAGGATGCGTATCTTCACAACCCGATACATCCGGACTCAAGGAAATACCTACGATACCTCTTCAACGGATGTCACTTCCAATGGAAGGTTCTACCATTTCGAATATCGTCGGCCCCCTGGTTGTTTACTAGAGTGACAAAGCCAATCATCACTTATCTACATCATCGAGGTCTACGCAGTGCGCTTTACCTGGATGACGGGATTCAAGCTCATCAAGATCCCAGTCAACTCAGACTGCAATTAGACTTCACAATCAGGCTACTCACACAGCTAGGATGGCTAGTAAATCTCCTCAATTCGGAACTAGAACCCACACAGGATCTGCAATTCCTAGGAATACGGTTCATCACATCGCAGAATCGCATAGTCGTCCCAGAGGAGCGTTGGGTCAAGATACAACAAATGATATCTCAAGCACTACTCTGGTCTTCTCACGTCAGCACAAGACATGACACGCAGAGGAAGACTACAACTGCGCCCACTACAAGTGTTTGTGAATGCTCATCTAGACAGTCCGGACTCCTTTGGACTACCGGACGGACTAAAACCATATCTCCTATGGTGGACTCGGAAGTCGGATGTTTGCGGAGGAACCTACTTATCCGAGCCGGAGTACAACACTCATCTCTACGTAGATGCATCACTTCAAGGATGGGGTGCCCACCTAGACAACGAAGTGGCAGCAGGGAAATGGTTGAATCAGGAGCAAAGTCTGCACATCAACATGCTCGAGATGAAAGCAGTAATAAACGCCTTGTTACACTGGTCCAGCATACTAAGGAACGCACAACTGATGATCCATACGGACAACTCCACAGTGGCAATCTACATCAACAAACAAGGATCAACAAGGTCAAGGAATCTTCTAGATCTCAGCTTTCATCTATTCAGCATAATAGACAATTTGAACATCGATGTGAAAGCATGTCACATTCCCGGAGCCAAGAATGTGATAGCAGACGCCCTATCTCGTCCAACACAACCATCTCAGACAGAATAGATGTTACAACCAGAAGCATTCAGATGCATCATACAGAGGATAGGATCTCCACTAATAGACCTGTTTGCTACAAGGTTCAACAAACAAATATCAACATTCGTCTCCCTGCTTGGGATCTCAACGTAGTCTTACAGCATCTCACCAGTGATGCTTACGAACCACTAGGAAGGACATCCTATGAGTTTCTAACACATAAAATTCTGTTCCTGGTTGTCTTGGCAACAGCAGCTTGGATGTCAGAAATACATGCTCTGGACTTTGAACGAATACGATTTGATGCACATCGCAATATCATACATCTGGGATTGAGATGGGATTTCATAGCAAAGAACCAATTGCCCGGTCAGTCAGACAGGCAATTCCACATCCCAGCACTTTCATCAGTCCTTGGACCACAGGATACCCAGGATCTATCCTTATGTCCAGTCAGAGCATTACAAATTTACCTACAAAGGTCTAAAATGAGGAGACGAAAATTCATGCGCCTTTTCATCCCTTTATCTACGGACACACCTACAGAAATCTCACGTACAACAATATCAATATGGATGAGATCCGTCATATTGAGAGCCTATAAAACAGCAGGACTCGAGCCACCACGAGCCTCCAATCCTCATGAAGTCAGAGCACTGGCGTCGACACTTGCTCTACATGGAAATTGCTCAATCTCGACAATAATGGAGGGCTGCTATTGGAAGTCGGAGATGGTGTTTCCCAACCACTACCTCAGAGACATTGCTTCCAAGGATGTCTCCGGTATCCACCAGTTTGGGCCTCTTGTTGTAGCCAAACGGTTCCTCAAAGACGCTGAGATGAATCTCACCCTTTATCACATGACTTGTAAAAGCCGACACTCAGAGAGTTGGAGCTTAGAGTCTGTGCGCACGTCTAAAGATAGGCTAGCATGAGTGACAGACCCTATACTTGTAAGGACTTACTCGTATATGAAGAAGGGTCACTTCTCCATTTGATGCGGAAATCAAGTCATGGAGTCGTATAAATCCACTTTTATTGTCAGGAGAAGCGGTTCCGGAAAATCTGACAAGTTGTGGCCCCCCTAAACTCATTAGAGGAAGCTGGAAGGAAGGATCAGTATATACTTTAGGAAGTTCCCACAGGGGGTATGCAGGACGTAAATCAGCATTGAATCCAGAGTGGCTTGACCCACCACTGTTTCCGTTGGATTCTACAAGCAATTAAGCATGAGTCAGGATAAGGAAAAATATGTAATTTTTTTATTAAAATTGATATTTTATACTTATCCTGACTCATGAGGTAATGTCCTCCCAACCTCCCCTCATGGCACTCTGGATTCCCTGTAATCCAGGTGTCGGGCATATTCAGGAGAGAGTGAGGGGCATGTCGGATCATGTGACACATTTTCCCGCCAAAAGAGTCTAAAGGGAGATAACACTGGGTGAGTGATTTTCGTCCGCTTTTTTTAAGGGAGCTTCAAAAGGGGATTCAAGTGTTCCACTATCATTCGCAAGAAGAAAGAGACAAGCAATTAAGCATGAGTCAGGATAAGTATAAAATATCAATTTTAATCAAAAAATTACATTTTGGCACTTTTAGAGCACATTTTTTTTTGCTTTGGAAATCAAGGGCAGATAATGCAAAGGGAGCTAACTCTGGATGGCCCAATATATTGCAGAATCTGAACCATATCGTGACAATTGTATCACGAGATACTGTACTGGTATATACCGGTTTACCGGAAATATTGCACAGCCCTAACATTCACTCATTCACTCACTCACTCATTCACTCACTCACTGCACATTAAACATGTTAACAGCTTTGTTGAGAACAAATTAATCTTCTTCATTGTAAGCTTGGTTTCTCCTTTTTCAGATTGACAGAATCCGATACGTGCTCAGCAGTTACTTAAGATTACGATTGGAAAAGGTAACTTTGAAAAGGGTCAGGGGAGTGGGCAGATAAGACCATGTAGAATCTCTAGGAGCCAAATTGAAAAGGCCATTTGCTCAGCCATTTGTTTTGAAATTGGAATAGAATTTGGTACATATTATTACATCCAATTATTCAGTGTTTGGGTTTGTTTTCTTCTTTTGTTCTGTTTTGTGTAGGGATTTGTTTTCTTCTCTTTTTGATATTTTAAGTTTTTACCTGGACATTCTTTGTCCCAAGGGCAGTGGGGTAGCCTAGTGGTTAAAGCGTTCGCTCGTCACGCCGAAGACCCGTGTTCGAATCCCCACATGGGTACATTGTGTGAAGCTCATTTCTTGTGTCCCCTGCCGTGATATTGCTGGAATATTGCTAAAAGCGGCGTAAAACCAAACTCACTCACTCACTCACTCTTTGTCCCAACGGCACACTGAATCTTGTTATGGCCATTACTCCATAATTTTTTTTAAAATGTTATGATATTCGGTAGATGTATAGTGAGAAGTATTACAACAAACAATTATGTTTAGACTTTTACCATGCTTTTATTTTTTCACAAATGCATGGACCAACAATGTTAAAACTTCACAAACTTCATGCTTTTCTACCATCGGTGACACCTGAATTAGTTAATGTCACTTGAATCCAAGGAATCCAACAAATGTTTTGAAATATGTTGTTTGTGTAAAGATATTCTGTTTCTGTTGAAAATCCTGCAGCGAGTCCTGTATTCAATGTTGTTGCAGATTGAGAAACACTCGGCATATGTCCTGCAAGCTGAAGCTAAGAGAAAGGAGGAAGATGCGCCGTTGATGTCACCTGGCGAATATGCTTTTGCAAAAGAGTGGGTAAAATGTAGATTTATTTGTCTGATGTTAAGTCGGGTAGCTTAGTATTTCACACAAGAGGCCAGAGTTTCTATTCCCAACATGGGTACGGTCACTGAGTGAAGGTAACCCATCTCAATATTGCTGGAATATTGCTTAAGGTTCGTTCTCACAGTGCGACTTGTAGTCAGGGGTGGAAATAACCCATTGCCCGACGTCCGAGTCTAGTGTTTTTTCTGTCGGGCAAGCAGATTTGTATATCACACTGTACCGGTGTCCAAATGACTTTCCAATGTTTATTATGTTGTTTATTTAAAAAATAAGCAAGAAAACAGTTGGTATGGTGGGAAAATAATCAGGGCAAGTGACTTTACATGTGCCACTGTACCGGAGTACACTAGCAATTTTAAACTTATTTCCATCCCTGGTAGTGACAACTAGGGTTGGGTATTGACAAAAATTTCGCATTGCGATATATCGTGATATGTGTTGGTGTATTGCAACATGTATTGCAATATATTGTGAAAGTGTAACGCATGGTTTACGGTAATGAAATGACTGTTTTCTTTCTTTTGAAACAATGCCATTGGCCACTGTCAGGATGTGATTGTACAAGAGATCAATTGAAAATGGTTCCAAACTGTTTATCCCAACAAGTGCCGGTACCAATCTATATGGTTTAAAAGTCACATAAATGCAATTATATGACCAATAAACTATTCTCAAATTCTCAAAACTATTAACGTAATTAATGTATAATATAAAAGGATATACAAATGTTAATCATATTTTTGACAATCATGAAAATTACCGACCATGGTAACGGAAATTGCTGATCATATCGGTTGAACCGGTTCGCGAAAAGTGTACTGCAAGATATCGTATGGTGAAGTTCGAATTGCAATATACCGGTTAACCGGTATTATCGCCCACTCCTAGTGACAACTTGTAGTAACTACAAAGATCATGAACGACTTTGTAATGTATGTACTTTTTAAGTCTCATACAACTCGTATATCGCGAGATTCTCACACATGGCTCAGCAACATGGATTCGTCGACTGAAGAAGAAATGCTAGCCATGATAATGTCGGTCTTCATATCACAGTCACTAAAAAAGAAGAGAAAGACTGAATCGGTGTTGGTTCACAACTGTTTAAAGTATTGTAAAGTAACTCACTCACTCACTGCAAATATTGATTCATTCTTCAGGTTTGCACATCGTTGGTCCAAGGTATATTGTTTGGGCGGTGGGTAGCCTAGGTCCAAGGTATTCCCATTGTTTGCCCATTTCTGGTGCCCCCGTTATCAATATTGCTAAAAGTGGCGAAAACTAAACTCATGTTCAGTATATTTTTGGGAGTTATCACGTATGTGTTGTTTTTGAGGGTATGTCCTGGGCATCCTGCAATGAAGCCATTGACTTCTTGTATTTAACAGAATTATTATAAACTGCAAGTGTTATGCAGCTTAGTTATTTCTTGCATCACAAAATGATGGCAGTACTGGTTCCTGCACTTAATTACATCACAAAGTTTTATAGGTTGTAGACTGACTGATATTTAGTTTTTTTTTAAATCCTCCAGCAATATCACGGCGGGGACACCCAATTACTCCATCGGGGCGCGGACGAGCTTATAGGTTGTACTGATTAGACGTTGATGCTTTATGAGAGATCATCCTCATCAAACTTTTGAAATTGTGTTTCAGGTTTCAGCAAGGGATCGAAACACATTTCAAGACTTTATCCCTTAGACACATGCCGGCCAACCTACAAACACTAACTCCTGCCCAGTCCAGTAAGTATACGAAGGGCTGCAGTGAATTTTCCAGCTTAGAAAAGGTCCACTGAAATCAATATCTCTCTCTCTCTCTCTCTCTCTCTCTCTCTCTCTCACTCACTCACTCACTCACTCACTCACTCACTCACTCACTCACTCACTCACTCACTCACTCACTCACTCACTCACTCACTCACTCACTCACTCACTCACTCACTCACTCACTCACTCACTCACTCACTCACTCACTCACTCACTCACTCAAAGAAACTAGGTGAAACGGTAAATACCAGTTCATGGAGGGTCATCCTCCTGTAATTCACAATGTTGAAAGCTCTTTTTTCATGCAACAATGAGTTGAATTAAAAGTTTTCACAGTTCATTCTAACTATGCAGAGGACACTTCGTACAGGCTACAGGAGGTCCAGTCATTTATCGCACTCATTGCAGAATTACATCTCTCAGACATGCCAGAGATCTTTCATCATTGGTCCTTTTCTATAGTTTGTCAGCACTATGCAAATACAATTCTGCTCAAATATTTGTAAATCCAACTCTCTCTCACAGTCTGTCATGCTCTGGGTTTTGAAGGTGTACACAAATCCTGCTTTGTTCCATGAGTTGTCAGGAAATGACACTGGAACAGGTGGAATATTGAGGTGCAAAAGGTGTGTACCTCTGGATTAAAACCTTTTAGTCTCGAAAATGAGAACCCCAAAACCCCCAAGTTCCGCCGAACCCCTGGGAGAAATCCCCCAAGTATCTGGGAGAAATCGGTGTATCGCTGGGAGAAATCGGTGTATCGCCAGGCCCTGTTTATAGCACTTTGGCTACCGTAAGTTGAAGTATGGAAGTTACGATGATGACTTCAGCACTACGATAGATTTGTGCAATGGGGCCGTGGCATGAACTGACGACTTTGCACAGTAGTTCAACATTTCCTCATGAAGTAAGACCCAAGTTTTATGATGGACAATACAGATGATCCAATGGCAGTTGATAATCCAGGTTGATCCAGGTTGATAATCCAATGGCAGTACTGTTATCTACCGATTTCATTGTGAGGTTGACTCAGGTGATCTGTGTACGTCAGAATCCCTCACCTGTAGTCTTCTGGAAGTCAACATAGCAAATGTGAAGGAAATATTCAAGGAACCTCATCCTGAAATGCAGGTTAAAATGGAAAGGTTTCACTTTGAAATTTCCTTCGTCCTTATTGACTGCAATGAAAGAAGTTTCCTGTCTATTTATCAAGCAATTTAAAACAAGAAATTTTGAATGACATGTTACTGGTTCCCTACCCAGGGCAGTCAAAAAACTTGTGTAAATGAAATGATTTATTCTACTTCATGGAAACTTTTATTCAGACCTTTTTTCCCTTGTTTTCCCCTGTCAGCATCAATACAAAGATTGTTTAGCCTGTTGTAAAAGACTTTGAATAGCTTGTTAAAGTGATGTAATATGAATGTTTAAAAGCAGTATTCAGTTTTCTCCACATATCACTTTTAGTCTATAGTGACTTGGTCAAGGGGAGATAACTGGACAACAGTCCTAACATGGAGGTTTTCAGTTTATGAAGTCATGGATGCTTAACCATCCTAACTTACCCTAATTACTTATAGTGGTTCTGTTAAAACTAAGCTGGACTGGACTTTCTGGGAATTTATGATAGACATGGATCGTGGACTTTCTGGGTCCCCAAATCATATCTGTATATGTATTTGTTTAACAGCTTTTGTGATTGGCTAGACTAAGCAGTCAGTATAGTGGTTCAAAGCGATCGTTCGTGGACTTTCTTGGTTCACTGTATATGTATTTGTTTTTTATAAGGCAAACGTTTCAGTTGTTATTTCAAAATCTGTAATGACGTCATGCAAAGTCAGTATGTTGTGTGATCCGTGGTTCATTTGTACCAGGCTTGTATCGTAAAACACCACTCCCTTGCTGTCTTAGGTATCTGACCCGAGAAGATCAGGTTAGAATTGGTCTTCAACAACCCATGCTTGACGTAAGAGCCAATTAACAGGATCGAATAGTCAGACTTGCTGACTTGGTTGCTACAATCGTATCCCAATATTTCGGAGATTGATGCTCATGCTGTTATCTTTTGAATGACTCACAACAATATAGCTGGAATATTGCTGAGTGTGGCATTATACAATAAACAATCAATCTCAGGTATCGTGTGAAGGGAGGTAACTACTGCATACAGACAAATGTATTACCTCCCTTTGACCACAATGGCATGCACGTAAATTAAAGGTTTATAATAAGCATATTCATCATACAGTGAATATGAACTAATAGATGATATGATATTTGGAAAGAAACAAAGACTAGAGATAAAACACAACAGGGCTGTGCAACTCTAATATTGCAGATGGATAATTCCCCAAACATGGCTCAGACCTTTTACTATGCATACATTAATAGATTTCAATCACCACTACAGGTAACATCAGAAGAGACTGAGGAAAAGGCAACTGCCAGTTACTAGGAATCAGTTTTGGTAGCCATCAGGGCTAGATGCAACAAAATATTTTCCAGTATACCGTACACTTTGCAAATATTGTGCCCCATCATTTTTGGTCCCAGTAATAAAGCAGTCAGTGACTTGTTATCATCGGATATCCGGAGTTAATGACCAATTGCTGAACTTTACACAAGGAAGCATCATCTCACGACAATCAAAACAGGTGCAATCCTGTGTAAGAGGAATTAAGTTCGCATCACAAAATTATTGTATTCCCTTCAAGAAATCTTTTGAGCTGCTGTGTAATATACTGTGACAGGCAGCAAATGAAAAATAGGAATTGTAGTTTTGCAGTTTCTACTGCTCAAAACATTTTGTGAAGGGAGTTAATCATGTATACAATTTTATTACCACCCTTGACCATTATGAATGCCTAATTGTTTGCCATACAAATATATTGGTCTTGTAACTATTCAGTATACAATCTCTCACCTTTAACAGTGAACACTGCATACCTTCCCAAACCTCATCAAATGATGTTTTTTTTATTTATTTATTTATCTATCTATCTACTTATGTATCTATTTACTTACTTATCTATTTATTTATATTATTTATTTATTTACTTATCTACTTATATATATTTTTTTGTTATTTTTATTTTTTTCATTTTTATATATATATATTATTTTATTTTATTTTATTTTTTCATTATCCCTTTTTACTATTTAAATTTTATTTGTTTTTAGTTTTAATGGCCTGTAGTACATATTAACAGGAACAACATGAACATGTATACAGGGATAAAATATTTTACAAAAACCAAACCCTCATCAAACAGCATTGTTATAAAATTTTGTTGGTCATACCAATTCTTTATTGTTATTTCTGTAAGTCGATTGAAACCCGATTTTGACTCTTAACTAAACGATCTTGACACAAATGGATGACGATATGTCCGCACAAAACAGGGATGTAGTCGAGGCAAGCCCTCTGATTGGTCAACGCTTGTAAATCTGCAATTCTTTACAAATTCGCAGGATTTTTTTCTTTTATCGACTGCTTAATGTAAGAATCGACTTGCAGAAAAAACAATAAAGAATTGGTTGGTGTCATGAGTGGTGATCGATAGGCCAATCATCCATGATTATGTTTACATTAAGTTTTAATTGATTGCATGCAAAGGTAGCGTAGAGATCGGCAAAGCAGGCGTGTAGGGTACACCGAAGTGTCCGGCCTTGTCATAATGTATTGTACTGTGAAGATTTTCGAGTCGGGGGTCATCTCAAATGTTTTATATGTTTTTAACATCTTTAATCTTCGCAAAGACATGAGGGCCTGTGCTTTAAACTACAATGAAAACACAAATTCCAGCTGACTTATCCTGCCTATTTTCCGAACACAGGAAGCTGAACACATCAACCCCAGTTCCGCACCAAATGTCACCTCCTGGAAAATATCTGTACACACAATAAGCACAAGTCATGGCGATAAAAATTATTGCATTAAATACTTAAAATTGTGGTCAGTTTTAATTATTGCATGGATGTGCTGTTGAAAAACATAAAAATCTTACTCTATTTCATCCAGTCACAACTGTCACGTGTCTCTATCTGGCCAGAAGTTTACACACGCAACTGGCTCAGCGAGCAAGTGATTCTGATTTAGTGTAGTAGAAAGTCCAAGGTCAAGGTCATAAAACAGAAAAAAGAAATCTCTGAGATTATTGCTGCATCTTTTCATCAAACTTGGCAGACATTATCACAACCTTTTTTATGGCAGTCTGCTGCAAATGTCAGAAAACATTCTCAAATGGGAGTTACCGGTAACATTTCCGGTTCTTCTTGTTCTGTCTTTTTAGAGGTGCCTTTTGTTTCACTGATCACAGAGGGAGAGTGCTTTGTTTTACACTACTGTACAAAAGTGTGTTGAAAAACCTAAATCATTAATTAGCAGTAAAATTGAACAAAATAACAAGTCCGTCCCACTTTACCTGCCAATGTCAGTTTGGAATCCTATATAAATCTTGCATGCTTAATGTCATAGTATCAGAATGGTGTCGACAAAGGCTCATGACGTTAATCACTGGATTATTGACAGACTCAAATAAATATTGACAGGCAGTTGGAATATAGCTTGAATATGGCTGCGTGTGGCATTGAACATCAAACAAACAAAACATTTCAATCTTCATTTTTTTTTTTCAAAATGAATTTAGTTCAACAGGAAGAGGTCATCAGAGGTGGAAATAACTGTAAAATTGATAGTATACTCTGGTACAGTGGCACATGTAAAGTCACTTACCCTGATACTTTTTCCACTATATGGACTGTTTTCTTGCTGATTTTTTAAATAAACAACATAATTAACATACAAATTTGCTTGCCCGACAGAAAACAACACTGGACTCGGACGTTGGGCAATGGGTTATTTCCACCCCTGATCATAATTACATCAGATTCTTACACAGTATGAACATTCAGGACATGTCAGTGAAGGGACTGCGTCTGTGTCTTGTACCTTTCTATGTCATTGTATCTCTGGTCTTGGGGCTAGTGTTTTCACACTGACCATTCCATGTGATGTTTTCCAGATATTCAGCCGAACCTTGACAGCTATGTGTTCCTGCGAGTGAATGAGAATACAGATGGAGTGCTAGTGGAAGAGGAGACGCTGGACACAGGGTGAGTGGATTGTTAGCTCCTCTATACCCCATGGTCGTCCCTGGCATCCTGTTTCTGACAAAAGGGAACTTGGGGTAGCCTAGTGGTTAACGAGTTCGCTTGTCATGCTGAAGACCCGAGTTTGATTCCCCATATGGATACAATTTGTGAAGCCCCTTTCTACTGACCCTGCCATGATAATACCCGATGGTTGTCCATGGCATCATGTTTCTGGCACAAGGGGCAATGGGGTAGCCTAGTAGATAAAGCGTTCGCTTGTCAAACCAAAGATCCGATTTCGAGTCCACAGTTGGGTACTATGACCCCAACCGCTATATTGCTGGAATATTGCTAAAAGCGGCATAAAACCATACTCACTCACCTTTTCTGGCCTACTGATTATCTATAGTGATTCTAGGAAGAATCACACCCAGTGCATCATGTTGAATTTCAAGGCAATCAAAATTTTTGTTTTTTGTCCAAACTGGATAATGACAGATCACTTTAATTTAACTGGAATAAAGCTATGTACATATTCAATAGCTCATTCACTGAAACCCAAAAAATGCTTGACAAGCACTTGGTGGTGTTGATGTTGATCTTTACTCAAAGAACAGCCTATGACATCCCCATGTTCAAATTAATCTGTGACTCAAGGAGGGTTTGCAGGGTCCCCCTGTGGACATCTGTAAGGAGATTTCATAAAAACAAACAAACAGGGACCTTAGATGTCTTTTTTTCTTTCAATATAACATGATTTTCGTTGTTTGGGATATTTGGATGGGGTTTTGGTCCCAGTTGTCTCCCTTGGACCCCATGACCTGAAATGCTGCACTCCTTGCTTCCTGTTGCTTTACAGTGAATGTAGCCAAGTCAGCATTGTGTGAACTAGGTTTCTTTATTACATTGTGTTGAAACAGTTTGTGTTTATTGCTAAGTGTTGTAATAAAATGCTGAAGATGGTGAATTTATGAAATATATAGTTTCCAATAAAGATCAGTTTATGTGTTGTCTTTCAATGGCATTTAGAAGTGATACATATAAGTCTGAAGTCAGAGATATTTAACCATGTTCCACCTAGTTGTTGATCACTTTAGTGATAATGGTGTACGTTATTAGATATGGGCACCTCATGGGAAGAATATAGATGTTGAAATCAATATGTCACCCTTTTCTTCATTCCTACTTCCGCTGCCAAGTGCCAATTTAAATGTTTAGAATTCGGATCAATATCTTGGTGAAATCAGTCAGATGTGATTGCACATTTCAGTTATTTGTCATACTAGAGTACTAGTGAGTAGAACCATACAGTATTCAGTATAATTACCAAAGAATCACATCTAACCTTTTACTCATCATAACAAACAGTCTTTTACTGAAACAAAACTCTCCATATTCTGCAAGGGGGGGGGGAAGAGGTGTAGCCTAGTGGTTCAGGTGTTCGTTCATCACGCCAAAGATATGCGTTCGATTCCCCACATGGGCACAATGTGTGAAGCCCATTTCTGGTGTCCCCAGCCGTGATATTGCTAGAATATTGCTAAAAGCGGCGTAAAACCCAACTCACTCACTCATCTTCTGCATATTTTCTTCCGGATAGTAGTAAGGTCTGATTTTGAATGTTTCAAGAAATTGCATTATTGGCAGTTATATATGGTATTGATTGAATTTTAGCACAGCTTCTCTCATCAGAAACAACTGATGTGTAGGGGACATGAACAAGACTGAGCTCAGTCTCATTAGTGAATGTACCGTGAAGATCCGGGTTAGAATCGGTCTTCAGTAACCCATGCTCAGGGCTTCAGATAACTTTTGGGGGGTGTGGGTGTACTTACACCTCATATTGCAAGTGGAGGTGTACTGAGAATTTTGAAGGAGTACGGACATGGATTTTTTTTGTCGCCTAACCATACATAATACTACTAGTTCATTTATTAATTCCTCCACTAATTTTGTCAACAAAAATGTTTCTGATCCCGATTTAGACCCACTTTTTCCAAAGAAACTCGTTATTTGTTTTTGACAAACCATGCTGGATGCTTGACCTGATTCAATCTATAGATTTCTGTTGTTTTTTTGTCCATTACACAGACATATTTATTTGTATATGTGGCTCTGAGGCCAATAGTACATGTGTACAATAATAACAGTGCATTTATGCGCAACCTGTAAATACGCGAGTTATAGGAACATCAATAAATCCATAAACACCCATTCACAATTTACATTTTTTCTCTCAACATAAGTATGTGGTACAACACAAGGGCTACCTTAAACAACAAGTCAATATTTTCCGTGCGAAGTAGCATACAGAATTTTTGTCTGGACGGTTGGTTATAGAAAAAATAAGGCTGTTCATTACTGTTCAAATGAATTGTAAATGTTCTAATGGTATATGTTACTGCCTTGCATGCGATAATACCAACACAATGTACAGCGGGTGGCCACAATATTACGTACATTGTCCATATTTTTTAGTAAGTTTAGAAATTAATCTTACTTTGAAACCATCGCGTTTGAAAACTAACTCTCTAAACGTAACCAATCTTAGCGAAATAGTAGAACCGAAAACGCCCTATCGTCACGTGACATTCACTCGACTGAAAAAAGTCGTCTGCTCGCTTCCGTCTGCTATTATCGTCGACATGGGAAAATCTCAAGACTTGCCATCGGGTCGTTAAAACTATTATTGTAGAACGATATCAGGATGGCCTAAATTGTTCAGCTATTGCAAGACATTTAGGCTTGCCCAAAAGTACTGTTTATTCTTGTGTAAACCGCTTTTCAACGAAGAGGCTCGATTGAGAATCGCCATCGAACAGGTCGCGCTGCCAAGGTGTCACGGAGAGGTAGGAGACAGTTGTTTCGATGGTGAAAGTCAATCGCATCGCACCTTTACATGAAATTACCAACATTTTTAATAGCGGTAGAAATTCCCCTGTCTCACAGGAGGACAATTAGACGGGTTTTACATGAGAATAAATTTCACAGGCATCGTTAGAAAGAAAATAAGATTCGAGAGAGAACAACATCAGAAAACGCCTCGCATGGGCAAGAGGGCAAAGGTACAAAACTGTGGATAATTACTGGAATAGAGTAATATTCAGTGATGAATGGAAGGTTATTCTTGGAGAAAATAATCGTGTCTATATTAGGAGACAGCCCGGCGAAGAGTACCGACCCGAATGCCTGTGTCCAGGTCGGCAGCCTCGAGTGGGTTTGATGATATGGGCTTGCATTACTGGGCATGGTGTCGGAACTTTGACTGTCGTTAACGGCAATATAAATGCCCAGAAATATATAGACATAATTGATTCTCACATCTGGCCTGTTGTAGCACGTCATTTTCCTGGAAATAACTATATCTTCCAAGACGACAATGCCCCTGTGCATCAGGCCTGAATTGTACAGAACTATAGACAAAACAATGACATAAATGGCATGGTATGGCCTGCACAATCACCGGATGCAAATATAATTGAAAATTGTTGGTTGATGTTGAAAAACAAGTTGGCCGCACGCCGACAACGTATTCAGTCGGCAGCTGATCTCGAGAGAGAAATCAGGGATATCTGGCAAAACATGCCGGTTAACTACATACAGAACTTGTACAGATCAATTCCACGGAGAATAGTGAAAATTCTGAGGAACAAGGGTCATATGACCAAGTATTGAGGTAAGTCACCCTTTATTTCATGCTCTATCACCATTTGAATAAACCGCGCTGACAGGAGGCGTCGCACTCGGCCGCCATCAATGTACGTAATATTGTGGCCACCCGCTGTATGTGCAGTTCTCAGTAACAAAGTGAGATTTTAGTTTAGTGTAAATGTATTTGAAGACGAGTGAGAAATAACTGAGCGACTGTGTGATGCTTGAAATGTCTGGTTCGACTTGATATAAATAGGAGCAGTGTAGTTTTTAGCCAATCGAAAAATAGTGACGCATATCATTGCATGGCAACGCAAGGGATTCCCACTGCCGGGGGTTTCCTAATGTGTCAAATTGCATTTTCGCGTTTCGCAAAAGAAACTCTTGACAACTAGTATTGATCCGAAATAGATCTCCATATGCACTATACACACGGAAATTAAATGTTAGACATAGAAAGTTATTTTTGTGTGTACATGATATGCTTGAAATGGTATATTATGTTGTACTTCATTGATTTTGAGGTGTACATTACGCCTGTACGCCCCTTATCTGTAGCCCTGCATGCTTGTCGTAAGAGGAGACCAACGGCATTGGGTGGTCAGGCTCACTGGCTTGGTTGTCACATGTCATCATATCCCAATTGCGTAGATTGATGCTCATGCTCTTGATCACTGAATTGTCTCGATTATTTACAGACCACCGGAATATTGCTGAGTGTGGCTTGAAACTAAAGTGACTCACTCATTACAGAATGTGATAGAAGTGTACAAGGCATTTTAACTATGGTAATCTGTTGTAAAGTCTCCTGTGACAGAACTAGTCACTGACGATGCTCCACCCATGTGTGCTTGTTATTGAATTCATGACGGTTTGCCAGACAATAATCTGAAGAACATTTGTACAGAATTAAGCAAGGAGATTTATTGCATTGGACTTTGTATAATGTATGTTGTAGAGTATTTGTGTGCGTTCAAATATAACTATGATGAAAAACAGATTACAAGTTGGGAAAGCAATCTAAGTTTCTGTAGACGGATACCAATGATTGCGTTCCAGTCTTAATTCTTCTTGATTACGTTTTTAGGTTTTTCAGCACCTTACTTGCATTCATGGGTCGTCACGCCGAAGTCCGGGTTCAAAGTTGGGTACAATATCTGAGACCATTTCTGACTCCCCCCGCCGTGATTTTGCTGGAATATTGCAAAAAGCGGCGTAAAACCAAACTCAGTCAGTCAGTCAGTGCATTCATGGGTGTCTTCAAAGTTGTAAATATCTGAGACCTGTCACTCCAGGCTGACAACTGACATGTCGTATATAACTGGGTTACTTTTCATAGCGGCTCAGTCACTGCTTTACATTTTTGGTCT